GGAGCAGGAGGGGGAGGGGGAGGAGGAGGAGGAGGAGCAGGAGGAGGAGGAGCAGGAGCAGGAGGAGGAGAAGAACAAGAAGAGCAAGAACAAGAAGAGCAAGAAGAAGAAGAAGAAGAAGAAGAAGAAGAAGAAGAAGAAGAAGAAGAAGAAGAAGAAGAAGAAGAAGAAGAAGAACAAGAAGAAGAACAAGAACAAGAACAAGAACAAGAACAAGAAGAACAAGAACAAGAAGAACAAGAAGAACAAGAAAAAGAAGAACAAGAAAAAGAAGAAGAACAAGAACAAGAAAAACAAAGAAGAACAAGAAAAACAAGAACAAGAATAAGAACAAGAGGGGCAGCTGCGGGGCGGCGCGGCGCGGCGGCGCACTGGAGCATGGCCGCGGCCACGGCGGGAGGAGCCCCGGGTCCGACCCCCGGCCCCGCCAGGCCCGCGCCGGCCGGCCGGAACCTGCCGGCCATGCCTCGGAGGCGTGGGGACTCCCGGAGCCGCCAGGCCTCCCCCTTCTTTCTCAACAACATCTCCCTGGACGGACGGCCCCCGAGCCTGGGTCCCGGAGGCGAGAAGCCACCGCCGCCGCCCGCTCCACCCGGAGGCCTCCTGGGGCTGCCAGTCAGGCCCGCGTCCCAGGGCCTGCTCAGCCCCACGACGGCGCCTGCTGGTCTCGGCCTGGACCGGCAGCCCCAAAGAACCAAGCATGCGTCTGGATCACCAAGACACAAAAGCCTGAAGACACAAACCCACTTCGTCAAGAACATGAGGCAGTACGATACAAAGAACAGCGGGATTGTGCTCATCTGTGCCAAGCCGTCCCTGTGTGCGGCCTTCTCAGTCCTGCCCTATGGAGAGGGCCTGCGGACCAGTGACCTGAGGGTGGACAGCCAGAAGCAGAGGCACCCATCCGGCGGCGTTTCTGTTTCTTCTGAGATGGTCTTTGAATTGGAAGGCGTTGAGCTGGGAGCAGATGGAAAGGTCGTGTCTTATGCAAAGTTCCTGTACCCTACTAACGCCCTGGTTATACACAAGAATGACAGTCATGGCTTGCTGCCCCAGCCTCGGCCCAGCATCCCCCGGGCTCCACCAGGTTCAAGACACAAACCTGTGCCTGCCAAGTCAACACCAGCTGGCACAGAACTAGGAAGCGACGGGGGAGATGCAGTAGAATACAACCCCAACCTCCTGGATGACCCACAGTGGCCATGTGGGAAGCACAAACGTGTATTCATCTTTGCTTCATATATGGCCACTGTCATAGAGTATGTGAAGCCTGCGGACCTCAAGAAGGACATGAATGAGACCTTCAGGGAGACGTTCCCTCATATCAAACTGACCTTGAGCAAAATTAGGAGTTTAAAACGGGAGATGCAGAATCTTTCTGAAGAATGCAGCTTGGAGCCTGTGACCGTGTCCATGGCCTATGTGTACTTTGAGAAGCTCGTACTGCAGGGCAAGCTCAACAAACAGAACTGCAAAGTGTGTGCTGGCGCCTGTGTTCTGTTAGCTGCCAAGATCAGCAGTGACCTCCGCAAGAGTGAAGTGAAGCAGCTCATTGACAAGCTGGAGGAAAGGTTCCGGTTCAACAGGAAAGATCTCATTGGATTTGAGTTCACAGTGCTTGTGGCTTTGGAACTGGCCCTGTACCTTCCCGAGAACCAAGTGTTACCTCACTACAGACGCCTCACCCAGCAGTTCTAGTCCAACAGTGCACCCCACAGGGAGGCTGCTTTGGCTAGAGCACTGACAAGAGTCCCTGTCCCTCCAGTAACTGCACTTGCCCCTCACAACCCACAGCAGCTCTTGGCTTCCTTGGAAAAAGACACTGCCTTTATTTTGGGGTGCACACCTCCACCTTGAGGCCCTGCTGAGTATTTTTCTGAAGCAAATGAGCGGTGTGGGGCTTGGTTTGCTTTTCATGTGCCTGAGACCAGCCTGGTTTATGTTGTGAACCCTGAGCTGAGGTCCAGCCTTCATTTTGCCTAGCCATGAAACCATTCCTGTAGAGGTCTAGGTGTCCAGACCCAATGCTGCAATTGCCACCAGAGTTCCATCAGCACACATTTTTCATTTTCTGAGATACAGCAAAGGGCAGACACCTTGACCCATTCTGAGTCTGCTCACACTGGACCTTGTTAAAGCATCTGCCACTGTGAAACCGCTGTGCCATCACATGCACAGCAGTGTTTGGCCAACACCACCTGCCGCCACTTTTTCCTGTGTTACTGGACCATTTAAGACAACCTCTGTGGGCTCTTGACTTTACTAAGCAATGTCATGATGGAGAAAAGGAATAACTTGAGATTTGGACTCTATGAGAACAGAAGCTGGCCCATTAAGGGCTACTGCTGACTCTGAACCACACTTGATCCTCAAGCAGGAAGGAACTGACAAACAGCACATCAATGAGTAGATGCCATCTAGGCCGTGCCACTGTCCGTGCCACTGTCTCCCTGCTGACACCAGACAAGAGCCATCCTCCACCTTCCCAGGCCTGTTATCCTTTCCTAGAAACTGGTCACCAGCCTGACAGACACCAGTCCCACTGTTCCCAAGTGCTTGGTTCCACAGCCTCATCTCCTGACACCATCCAACCACTTAGGCCTAGTCAATCAGTGATAGCTTAAACAGGAACCTTGAAAGGTAGTAAATAGTCCTTTATCCTGTCCATGCTTATGCTGGTGTAAGCATGCCAGTCCTCAGAGCATCTTTGGGTGCAAGATCCTGCAGACAGGTCATCTTCAGGACAGCCCCATCATCTTGTTTAAAATGAACTTAGATGTGGCTGACTGATGGACTAAATGTTAAAGCTGGCAAAGAGTAATAATTTAAGCTTTTATATTTATGTAGTAAGGTGTATTCATTTAACCAAGCTGGTCTCTTAGTCCTTCCCTCCCTGCCCTCAACAAGGCCAAGAGCTGCTGATGTGTGGTGCTGAGCACTGTCACAACAAGCCAACCCTTAAACCAAATACAGAGTCCCCATAGACTGAGTCCAGAAATTTGAGGTATACCCATGGTGTCCAGCTGGACTGTGACCCAATGCCACAGACCTGGTGCTGCACCCTCAACACTCAACAGGACACAGCTGTCTCAAGAGTGTCTGACCTCAGAATGTTGTGTGTGTCCAGTAGGTTTTGAATGGAGGGTGTTAAAATGTCCTTCTTAAAGTAAAACTTGTTTTTGCAACATACTCCCTTGCTTGCCTCCTTTCAGGTAAGTAACACCAGCCGCATATAATAAAAATGCAGACTCCGCTGTTTAAAAGAAGAAGAAGGAGAAGGAGAAGGAGAAGGAGAAGGAGAAGGAGAAGGAGAAGGAGAAGGAGAAGGAGAAGGAGAAGGAGAAGGAGAAGAAGAAGAAGAAGAAGAAGAAGAAGAAGAAGAAGAAGAAGAAGAAGAAGAAGAAGAACTGTTAACTAAGCACTAAGCTAAGGTGCACATAAGACATAAATATCTATAACTAATAGCCTTGACCAAACATATTACATGAAGCTTGTCCATTCCTTTGCTCCCTCATCATTTTGAGTTACAAGCCAGATATCCAGGATGGAGCCTGACTACCAAGGTTCAAAGACCTTGAAACCAGATCTGGATAAAGCCAAATCACCTTTTACCTCTTTCCTATGATTTGCTGGCCCAGAATGAGGCAGAACCACAATGGAAAATTGTTTGGTCAACCCCTCATGTCAAAATATAATTAGACTGCTACATCCCACCCAACTCCCTCATCTTATGATCTCATCCTTTAAATATGCTATTTTCCTTTAAATATGCAATTTCTCTTCAGGGATGAGGTTCAGAGCTACCTTCCTGGTTGATCAGAAAATAAAGCTTTCTCCTTTTTTAAATTTTAATTTGATTTTTTTTTTTTTTTTTTT